AAAAAAAAAAAAACATATAAAGAAGAAGAAATGTCACCACCGGCTGTTTGTTCCCTATCTTTGTTCACTCCCGGTCCCTAATTTTTTTTTCTGTTTATGTTCTTTAGTTTTTTTCATCAGTTTCTTTTCTTTCTTTTTTTGTCTATTCTATCTAGTCTTGATATTTTTCTATTTGTATCATTGTATACATATATATGCTCCTTTTGTTTATGGTTAAGGGTTCTATTTTGTCTATGCAACTTGTCATGTCTTCATTCAGTTTTGTTTTCTTGTTCTTTTTCTGTCAAAATTATGTAATTCATTGTGTCTAATGTTCTGTTTACTATTAGTTGATACTTGTTCGAAGATTGATATGTTGCACCTTGTTCTTTTCAACATGAGATTTTTTGATGGTGCTGCTGATGTTTTTCTTTCTCATTTTGGTTCTTCCATCATATTATTACTTCTTAGTGTATTTTGCGATTATTTGTAACTTTTTCTTGTTTGTTTTTTTTTTCATTTTCTATACAGTTTTCTTCCTTTTTTTTTCTTGTTTAACTTACCCACTATTATTCTTATTATTACAGCTTCTTGAGAATATTTATGTGAAAAACGAGAACGCGTGCTATTACTACTATTGCTGTTGGCTCGAATAAATTCTAAATTGGAATATATATATACATATATATATAAACGAGAAAAAAAACGATTCAAGTTTATTTTTTGATTGTTATTTTTTATGATATCGTGAAGTGGATTTAGATTCGTGTAACATAAAGGATTATCCATAAAGGATATTCAAGTAAAAAAATACGCTCTTCGTTTCCCCTTCTAGTATTGACTTATGTTTTCGAAGACAATGCTAACAGAAGCTTTAGCCATAAATCCATTGAAGTCTTTTGTCCTGCATGTGATCTTCGAACGTTTAATTTTCGAAGACTTATTTCGCTTTTTAACTATAATATAGTTCTATTGAATAGGAAGTCATTAGTTAACTCCTAAAAGATTACAATAAGGAAATCCTACTTGGAAAAAATGTTTTGATAAGTATCTACATCGCTTTTTTTCTATATTATCCTAGACGTTCTCTATGAATGATATATAAATACTTAACTAGTTTTTTCCTCTTGAGTATAAAGTCAGTATGTATAGAAACTACTTGTTGAAAATATCTGCACAAATAAATCGAGTCAATCTCAAAAAGAGTAATCAAACGTATTGAGGAACTATAAGTCAATCACGTATGCAGGGGCGTAAGTCAGGTGTCAGAGCAGGGGGGCGTAACCCTAGTTTTTCTATTTCAATGGTCAAAAAAACTGAACTTTCTAGAAGTAGGAGGGGCGCAAGTCCCTTTTTTCCTATTAGTTTTCGGAAGCAGGAGGGAGGGCCGCGCCCCACCCTACTTACGCCACTGCACATATGCACAAAAAATTTCGATTTTCTGTTTTATTGTAAATACTCTTGTATATGATTTGAAAAAAAAGCCAAACTTTATCTATTTATAATTTTCCAGATGCTATTTTTATGTTCTTCGATATTAATATTAAGTATACAAATGAATAGATGAATGATGATGATATATATATATATTTAATTTACATGATCAATAATAAAAATGAAGAAATTGATTTACAAAATAATGACTATAAATAGGTAAGTTTTCTTTTCTTTTTCATTTTTTTTTAAATTTCATTGAGTATATACTAATATGTATTATATAAAAAGACATATTTTTATATTGTAGGATTGTATATATTGAGTGATGAAAAAGAACAAATTTATTCTTCTCTATCTCTCAATGTCTTCTGAATTCGAGCATGAGAAGATCAACTATTAATATGATTGAGCAGCATGAGTAAAAAAAAGTATAACTATTTTATAATTTAATTTATATATGAAAAAATAAAAATAAAAATAAAAAAATTATTATTTATATTATTCAGTTAGATATAAGATATATTTCTTATATTTTTCGAAATTAAATCTCATTTCTTATGTGTTTATTGTAGAAGTTTATTCTTCTATTTTTCTTCCTATAATGGCTGATATTGAACCTACAAAACAGATTAATCAAGAACTTGAACCCGAACAAAAACGTAAAGTTTTTATTGGAAGTTTATCTTATAATATAGATGAGAATGCATTTCGTGAATATTGGACTAAATTTGGTGCAGTCATGTAAGTTAAATTAATATTCTTTCATTGTTTATAAATAAATAAAATTTTATTTAGTGAAGCAACAATTTTACGTGATCGTGATGGTCATTCACGTGGTTTTGGTTTTGTTACATTTGCCGATTCATTAAGTGTTGATGCTGTTATGCAAGCGCGACCACATACACTTGATAATCGTGTTGTAGAACCAAAACGTGCAGTAAATATAAATAATTTTATTATTTTTGTTTTTTATCAAAATATTAATTTAGGTTCCACGTGAAGAAACTCATAAACCAAATATGCAATTATCAGTTAAAAAACTCTATTTAGGTGGTGTTAAAGAACCAATAACAGAGAATGATCTTAAAGAATATTTTTCCAAATTCGGTGCAATAACAGATGTTGTTGTTATGAAAGATCGTGAAGGACAATATCGAGGGTATGTTTTTTTTTATTATACTTGTTTTATATAATTTTAATTCATATTTATTTTCATTAGATATGGTTTTGTTGAATTTGATGAGTAAGTTATTTTAGTCGTCTTTTTTTGATGATTTCATTTTTTTTTCTTCTCTTCTAATAAATAGTTATGATCCGGTGGATAAAGTTATACTTGAAAAAAATCATACTGTATGTAGCCGACAATTAGATGTACAAAAAGCTCAATCAAGAGATGCATCACAACGTCCTAGTGGTAATATGCGAGCTCGTCAAGGTCCACCACCAATGTCTAGATCGAATTATAATGGTGGTGGTGGTGGTGGTGGTGGTGGTTATAATAATAATAATAACTATCAACAGGATAATCTTAATGGTCCAGGACCATTTGGACAAATGCAAAATAATAATTACAATGGTTATGGACAGAATTTTAATGATGGTAATGGTAATGGTAATTGGACTTCATTTGGTCAAGGGTAAATTGGCAAAAAAAATATTGGAGTTCATATGCAAGTTTTGAATATGAATTTAATTGTTTAGATATGGTCAAGAAAGTGTTGGTGGACCGATGCGACGAGGAAATATGGGTGGTGGTCGTGGTTATGCACCATATAATGGTCGTGGCGGCGGTGGTGGTGGTCGAGGACGAGGAGGAGGTGGTGGACATCGTGGAGGTGGTCCATCGTGGACTGCATGGGATTGAAATGATTATTAACTCTGTTATGTAACAATGTTCTATTAAAAATTCCTGTTTTTTCCTTATTTGTTATCGTTCATTTTGTATGTATATCATGATATTGGTTAAAATAAAAGACAACAAAGAAAAGTTATAATAGATGAACTAATCTGATATTAAACTTTATTATTCTTAAAAGAATTCAATCCGATCAATTATTAATCTTATTCTTTATTTACACAGAATTATTTGCTGTAATAGTTCTTATGAAATATAGAAAATATATGTATGATTTGTTGTATACAGATTAAATAAAAGTAATTAATTTCGATGATCCATCAGATATCATCTCTTGACAGTCTTGTTTTATCTTTTGTTTTTCTTGATCACATCTCTCTCTGTATGTTATTATTCTATCATAGAAAAATATCTCTACCTATATATATGTATTCACCGGATAATTGTTTCTTTTGCTTGACGATATATTCTCATTATTATTGCACTACATAGAAGGAGGGATATATAATTGATTCAACTTCTTTGAAGTTCATTGAATCAAATAGATACTCATCGTTTTGACAATAAAATAACAAGACAATGTATACATGTCAAATGTGTATTCACCATATGATAGACATAGATCTCACTCGATATGTTGACCTTTTAGTCTAAATGATTTTTTCTAGTCGAAATTCGATCTATTGATGGTGATTAGAGAAAGAGAGTATACATGCTGTTGGATATAAACATAAATGAGACGTGCCTGTTATTATAGTTAAAGTTTCTATAGGGTGTGGCTGCTTGTCGTCAGCAAAAGGTTGTATAGATCGTTTATATTCACACAATTCAATTGACAGCATAAATTACGCGCATATTTTAGTTGATCAAGGATCATTAACATAAAAAAACTAAACATAAAATATGCAATACTTTCTCTTATTATTATTATTATTAATATTATGAAAAAACAGAAAAGAAAAATGCAATATAAACAATTAGAGAAACAAAACTAGAAATGAAAATCAGCTTATTGGTATCGATGTATCAGTAGAAATGACTTGCCATATTAATAATGATGTGGAATTTCCTTTTTTTTGTTTTATTTTCATCTCACTGTGAAAAGTAAATGAATAACAATCGTTTATTTCGTTTTGACTAGAATTTTGTTTCTCAAGATAAAGAAGAAATATCGTTTTCTTTTTTATATTTATGATGAACATGTTGTAGTTGGAGGTGAAAGAAAATTGTACAATGGTTGATAATGAAATACATTAGCAGCATATTGTTTCATTTGTATAAAACGAAATTTTTCTCCTTCAGCTTCAGCCAAACGTTTTTCTTTTGCTCGACGATTTTGAAACCAAATCTAAAATTCAATAAGTCTTCATCTATATTATACTTTTTGAAAAAAAAAGACATACTTTAACTTGTGTTTCAGTTAAATCTAATGAAGCTGAGAATTCAGCACGTTCAGCAATTGTTAAATATTGTTTATCACGAAATTTTTTTTCTAATGCAAGCAATTGTGATGTTGTAAATGGTGTTCGTGGCTTTCGATTTTGTTTATGTTTACGTAATGAACATATTTTGGCATTTATTTTAGGTAATTCATTATTACGTGCTTTATCAATTATATCTGCATCGGGTAACCATGATAATCTTGTTGTAATACTATTTCCACCTGTAGATGATGGTGGTGAATATTGACAACTTTCATTACTTGCTGAATCAATTAATGAGCGAATACTAAAATCAGTTGGACATTTACTTTTTTTGAATGGTGGTTCCATAGTTTTATTCGAAATGAATATGCTATAATTTGTGAAATCAAATTTGTGTCGTTTTTTCTTCTGTCGTCTAGAAGAGAAGAAAGAAAAATGATTGGTTTGAGCATTGAACTAAAACGAAGAAAATCATGTATTGGACGAATAAAAAAAAAACGAGAGAGAGAGAGAAGAAAAAGAAATAAGTATATTTCTCCCTCTATCGCTCTCTTTGATCGATTGAGAAAAGAAAGGAAACAGAAGTTTATCCCTGAGACGGAAGTATGGATTTTTCTCTCTGAAAGGAAATTGCCATTTTTTTTTATCCTAACCTAGAAAAAAAATACTCTTTAATCATTATATACGCTTTTTTTTATTGATGAAGGTCGTGAAAAATAAACAGAGGGTATCAATCAAAATAAAAAAAAAAGGTGACATATCAAATGATCATTAATCGTATATATTAGCAAATTCCAATAATATTAAACTGAATAGGTAAACCAACCAGGTAAAAATGACAAATTCACCATTGATTAAATATTGTTGTTTTTTTCTAAGTGAATTAAATGATTGCTAAAGGAATATAATCGTTAATATGATTGATTTGATGATCTATATGAAAAATTCTTTTAACGGAAGCGAATCGTTTGATGAAAACGATCTAGATCCATCATAATACTATTCTACCCAGATGCCCTATATTAGAAAAAAAAGAACACGAACGGATATCGGTCTCTTTTAACAAATACAGATAGATATAGATATATATATACACAATTCGCGCAATCATCAAATAAAAAAAACAGATCACTTGAATTAGTAAAAAAAAAAGAAATACTGGAGTATTAATATAAAAAGTCTTTTATGTCTATTGATATATCATTAAATTTTGTCGTCAGTCAAATGTCAAATGGTTGTTATGTTCATTGATCAATTTCTCTCACCATATAATTCAATGATTTGGAAGAGATTTTTATAGAGAATGGTTCACTTATTCTCGTGTAATTAAATAATCATTGCTTTTTTTCTCACTTTATAATCCGACATTGTCGAGATTTATTAATAAAACAAAGCAAAAAAATGTAAATTTCAATTCTTCAACTTCTCTTCTTCTTTTTTTTTAATATTACTATTATTATTATTATTCATAAAGTCGTTGACAGATAATGCACATGTCAATTGAATATTTATTCACTCGAATCGATGAATTTTTGACATTTAATACATGCAAGTTACTTTCAATTGACTTTAGATTTTTAAAATATGCGTGACAACAATATAATTCAGAAGAATTAATGGTCATATCTTCATCGTGTATGAAATATGATAAATGACAAAGACAAAGGTAATTAACGAAATATATACTTTGAATTGTATTTAACAAACCATATTTTTATGATTCAATTAGAGAAAAGAAAAATCTTTCTCGTTATTTTTTCCAGACAATATCGATTAACCAGACGATTGTTTCAACATAAAGTTGTGTGAATCTGGTATTCTTGTATTTTGTTTCTGTTTAGAACAAACGACACCAACTATCTCATTAGTTTATTCTAATACGATAACCGTCCTTCTTTTATATATATGTATATATAAACATTGAATGGTTGAGACGTGACACAACGAGTCAATTGCCATTCGCTTGATGAGGCTAATCGACTATTAACGAACGCGTTTATTTCCAAACTAAGAACTTTTAATCGTCAATAAATAGACATTATATACTGTGTATACATAAAAAAAAAGAGAATGATGTTTGACACAAAGAAGACTAGTTTTACAAAATGAAACAAAAGAACAAAGTTTTCTCTCTTATTTATCGAAATGAAAAATATGTTGAAGACATTTCAAATTGTTTAGTTAATTGTTCTTTTATTTGTATAAAACGATACTTTTCTAATTCAGCTTCAGACAAACGTTTTTCTTTTGCTCGACGATTTTGAAACCAAATCTAAATATAACGATATTATATTAATTTTGAAATCGTATATGAACATATATATACTTTAACTTGTGTTTCAGTTAAATTTAATGATGAAGAAAATTCGGCTCGTTCCGATATAGATAGATAATGCCGTTCATGAAATTTTTTTTCTAATGCAAGTAATTGTGTTGTACTAAATGGTGTACGAGGTTTTCGACCATTTTTATGTTTACGTAGTGGACAAACTTTCGTATCTGATTGATCTATTAATATTTGACAAAAAAGAAACAATATATAAATAAATAAATAAATAATTTAACTTACCAGATAACCAAAATGAATTTGAGGTTACTGTTGATGTACTATTATTAAGATTATTTATAAGTGGAATTGGATGCCAATTTGGTGGTGAACATGAAGATTTTGATGGACTACTATCATTGGAAGGACATGTATATTCACAATCATTATTATTATTATCTCGTAAGAGAAATGCAACACTAAAATCTTTTTTAGGTTTTGTAACCATCTGTTTATCTCTGTTCTATGTAGTGGATAATTGTGTCTATATAATTATGATGCGTACGATTTGTTTTTCACCGACTGCGTGGATATATATATATATATATTCTGTAACACCAATGAAAATGACGATGATCGTTATAGAGAATGAGACTATTTGGCCTTTTCACACACGATTGGTTGTATGAGAACGAGAGAGAATAAGAAAAGAGAAAGAGAAATATAATATAATACATTTCTTTCTCGCTCGTTTATATTTGATACTTTTTTTTTTGATAGTTTATTCGTAAATTATATCGAGCTAGAATTCTACGCTTACTTTATCATATAAAAAAGTTTCCTCATATTACCAAAATTCGGATTAATCAAATAGATATGATTATAATAATAACACTTGTATTCAAATCAAATAATCGAAATTGTTCATTGAAGAATGACTCTTAATAGAATATTTTGTCGCTTAGAACATAATATAATTTCCGAATCAGTTCTCATCGATTTAATACGATTGCATATAACGACGAATCAATAAGCAAGCAGATGATGTGATGAAATCATTTTTTGTATAATACATTATAACAGATCATTTCTCACTAATACGACTATAAATGATTCGAACCTTTTTTAATTATTTTATTTCTTAAATCTTTCTTTTTTTTGTTATATGAAAATCTATACATAGAAACAAGAAGAGAGAAAAAAGAAAACAAGCAAATGTTATTATTATCAATCATTTTCTAATAAGGCGGAGTAATGTCATTTTATCAATGAAAACTAATCATAATTATGCAAAACAAAACATAATATCTCATATCTTTTCTGTATTTATCATATAATTACATAATAATCATATACATAATTTCGATTCTTCTACTCTATTTACTTTTCTCGATTAACTTAGTTGCAAACTCCATCTAATGTCTTGATAAACGAGTTGACACATTACAACTGTCATTTTTCTTTATCGTCTCATATGCATATATATGTGTATATATACAACACGCATATGACTCTCTCTCACCTAAATATTGCGTATATTACACACTCACTCAACTATTATCGATTAACTGACGATGTGTTCAACATTACGTTGCTCACTTTTCATGGACAAATCTTATTAAGAATAATGATCATCATCAAAATCCTTTTTCTCTCACTTTTTTTTTGCAAACATTTTTCTCATCCTTCTCT